GGGGGGGGGAGGTGGCGGGGGGTGGGGCTGGGGCAGTAAGCTTCCGTGCATTGTTGAGGCGGGTGGCATTGTCGAGTTTCCGAATCCAAGCGGCCAGTTTCCGAATACAACCGTGGAGTTTCCGAATACAGCCGTCTCAGTTTCCGAATACTAGTTTCCGAATACAACCGTCTAGTTTCCGAATACAACCGCCGAGTTTCCGAATACAACCGTCGAGTTTCCGAATACAACCGTGACCTGACAATCATGATTGCTGGCCCTGGACCAGAGAACGAGCTCAATCCATCCTTTGCTGCACTTCTCTTGGGTGGTCAGACTCCGAAGCCCTGTTTCCGATAGATTGGGCAAGGTGGAGTGTCTCAAAGAAGGTGTGAGGCCACCGGCAGCCCCCCGCCCTTTGCCAAACTTGCTGCGAAGGTAGATTCCCAGAAAACTGGAGCGAAGGGTCCGCTTTCCCAAGACAGTTTCGAGCGAACGGAACTCATATTGAACAACCCAATTCAAGCGGCACCTTTTTTCGCAACGCGGCTGAGTGCTTTGCTTCAACGACTTCGTCTCGAGATGTCATCGACGGAATTCTTGAGTTGGTCGGACCAACTCACCCGAACACTGAAACATGCCGGTTCCGAAGCTTTTCTTGGTTTTGTTTGGACCCAACTCCGGGCCAAACCAAAAAGGATCAACCAGGACCGACGCAATCGACCCTCCAGAAATCGGTCCCGCTGGGTCGTCGTTTGGGTCCCACCGGACACAGCGCAGTTCGCTCGCGTGCTGGGTCTGCCTCCCGCGACATGCGCGCGCGAGGTCCGATGCTTGGACCAACCGATCGACCTGGAAGGATTGGAGGTTTTGAAGCCTGAAGAGGTCCAGATGCTGCAGGAATGGGGGTGGAAGGGCCGCGTTCGGGCCGGTGGCCGCGTACTCGCGCGGGGTGGGCGTATACTCGTGGGTGCGGTGATGTGCGGTTCTTGTTCTGGGCCATTTCCGTGGCCAGTCGGGTGGCTGTGGGCTGATGCGGAGGGTTGGAAAAAAACCCAAATGGTGAGGGGGTCTCAGAACTTGAAGGACTCTGGGGGGCGAACCTTGGAACCTCCTGGTTTTTCCTCAGCAGCGCAGTATCCATGAATCGCCTGACATGGAATGCTCGAGACTCGGGTCGGGGTCCAGAATTTCATGCAGTTGGTGGATATTCTTTTGGGGGAACCTTTTGTTCATGGGGTAGTGAAGATCAAAGGTAGTGAAGAAATGTCAGATCCAAATGGTTTGTATGCTCCAAACGCCGACATCGCTCCAAAAGCCTTCGACACCGATTGGACGCCACGCACGACTGGGGTCCTTTTCTGCTTTAATGGGAGTCCATGGGAGACCAAGGACCATGTTCTTTAATGGTCTGGCGATCCGGTGTGATCCGAGTGAAAGCATTTTGCCGAACACTTCGGTTTGGGCTCCACAAGTTCGGTGACCCTTCGGTGGATTCGCCCGAAATTCTTTCTGAAGGAATTAGAGAGTTAACCCCCTTAAACCCCCCCCACTAAACAAGAACCAGGTGGAAAGTGTGGGTTTGCACCTGAAAGCCAGTTTGACTGTCAAAAGAAGGGTCGAGTTTTTCTAGGGAACTTCCTGGATGCTTCAGTCGGACAACAAAAATCATACAAACCGAGTCGACTGTCGGGGTGATCTGTTCCCTCTTTTCGAGGCATAGACACCCCCAGTTCACGTAGAACCCGTCACAGGTGCCCCGAAACTCGGCGGTCCGAAGCGGGCAAGGGGGAACTAGCTGCTAACTAGATGCCCGTGAGGGCCGGGCCTTCCTCCATGCTCTGTTTTTGTTCGCAAAAGAGGTCAAAAAGAGGTCAAAAGGTCTGCTTCCTTCATCTTTGGGCTTTCCATGAGACCAGCTACTCTAGATGATCAGCAAGATGATGCCCACTTCGAACATTTCCACCCCCCAGCCCGGGCTCGGCTGTTTCACCACTTTTGACAGCGGGTGACGCTCCGGCTCTCCAGACGCGAACGCTTGTTCGGGCGCAGAGAGCTCGCGCGGCGCCCTGCGCGGTGCGCCGCGCGGTTCACCGCGTTGTCGCCGCTCGCGGCCATGGATCCACCGGTGGTAGCGCCGGAGAGAGCTGAGACGACGATGGTGAGTGGCTGGGCGGCAGCGCGTCGGAGAACGTGCGCCGTGGATCGAGATAGCCAGGAGCCATCCTGTTGCGTTGGTGTGGCTGGAGTACCCTACACCTACTGTATTTGGACACCCGGATGGTCCAGGGATGATATAATAGTGCCAGGCAGTGGATCAGGTGATTCGACCCCCTGGTAGACATCCATCACGGAGTGGATTGTTTGGCCCAGACTAACCAAGTGACCTTCCAAGCGAAAGGATGGTCTCCAGTGCCGAGTCTCATCGAGCAGGATCCGTCTTCCGAACCAGATAGGATCAGCTACCACGGTACCACGGTGAAGGTGTTTTGGGTGTTTTACACACCAGGTTCTTCACTTCGATTGCCGGGTATTTCACTACAAGAGGTTCTGAAAACCATAGGGCCACCTAGGAGAACATCAGGGCTTTTTAACTGCGCAAAGCATTTGTAACGCATTCACATTCATGCTGCTTGGAAGATGCCACATTTTTCATCACAGAGTCTTCCTTCCCAAGATTTTTGATTGGATTCTCTTGACTCGAGACAACCCCATTTCTTTCAGTTCAAGCGAGCTCTGTTTTGTGAAGCCGGTTCCGCACTTTGAGAACCTCTAGACTCTATAGTCGTGGTCCATCTTCACCAAACCATGTCTCACTGCGGTGCATTTCAGCCACCGAACACTGAACCGTTCGACGGACCGCTGCGAAAGGCTCGGTGGTTAACACTGCATGTGGTGACGCCGGGTGCGGGGCATGACTGCCCGGTCCAGCTCGCGGCGTTCTCCGCGCGCGCGGCGCTCCCGGCGGAGGTTTTCATCTTTTGCCGGACATCCAACATGTCCAGCCAGAGGAGCCTCACGATGGCGACGCCGGAGAGGTGCGAGCGACCGCATGGGTCGCTAGCTGCTGCGGTTCGTCTTCGTTCGCATGGTGTGAGATGGAAGATGATGGAACATGGGTGTTGGAGCTGGAGTAGCTAGTGACTAGTGACTCCTTCTTTGGCCCCCCAGAGCTCCGCTTTCGTGACTTCGGGCGCTCTGCCAGAACTTCTTGATGCCCGGGTTGACGCCCGGCGCCAGCAAGTCCGAACTGGGGTCGCCTTGGCGCCAGCAAGTGAACAGCGGGGGGGAAGGGGAAAAGAGTGGATCATCTTCACCTGCAAAAGGGAACTTTTGGGAACAGATGGACAGAGCTTTGGTTCACCTGGATTTTCCAGAAAGACAGGAGCTTTTAATGAAGCTTCGCTCAGCTTTGCTCCTATTTGGGCCTGTTGGTCAGATCCTTCAAACCCATCAGCACATGAGTTTCCGGTACAAGCTGATAGCTCCGTTTGAACATGGGTCGCACTGTCAGTTACCCTCCAGAAGGACGAAGAATCGATATTTTTCAATGTCTTTGCCGGATGCGCCTCCTTTTCGGACCGACGCCTCTTCGAAGCTCTCGCTTCGGAGCTCTCGAGCCCTGACGAGCCCTGACGCCGGACGACGGTTCCGCCGTCGAGTTCGATGGCAAGGTCTGGAACAAGCGGGAGCTGTTGCAGGCGGGGGGAGAACCTTGCTCAGCCTGTTTCTGCTGCAGTAGCAGCACCCGGGCGCGCCCTAGCCGAGCGGTCTTGGAGAGGTGATGAGCTTGGTTTGTCGTTCCATTTAGGGCGACAGGTGGGTGGTCAGGTGACTCCATGAGCTTTGTTGTTGTTGTTGTTGTTGTTGCCATCTGTAGAGATTCGGCTACAGTACATTCTTTTCCACTACTGCCAAGCAGATCGAAAAGTGAAGGTGATCGGGGCCTCTATACTTGACAGCATCCTTTATTCACCTCACAAACACCAACACAGGAGCACCTGAAACTGGAACAAAGCTGGAGCAAATTCAACATCTTCAACAAAGCCAGGGCGGACATTGTCTGAACAGGAACATCTTGATGGTACAAACCAGAAGAAACTCTAGGCACAAGGGCAGCAACCATCCTGGTCTGCCATCCGTATTGGGTGGGACCGTCACGATGAACACTCAGCCAAAGAACGCATCACAGTCGCGTGACAAAACTGGATCCAAGCATATCCAAGCATCATTTTGACGTCTTTCATTGGGCAACCCGATCGGAAGAACCAGGAACGCAAGACTCCCAAAAGACTCCGCCTCCCTGCCGGGTGTTCGTTGGGAATTCCCCAATGATGTTGAAACCACTTCCCACCAAAGGCTATGGCTCCTGGGTGGCGCGCCCGGAAATCCCCTGACCTACCGACCCGGTCGATCCCCTCGATCCCCTCGATCCCGGGACGGTCCAATGGGCCCCGGTGACCGGTCCGGTGAGGTCAGAGCCCATGTGTAGCCCGGAGTCGGTCAAGAGCCTCGGAGCCGCTCGTTTTCTTAGCAACACAGGGTGGAGGGTGTCGGGGAAGGGAGGGTGAAGACGAGAGCGTTTGGGCGGAACCAGCGCAACTCGTTAAGTTGATTTGCTATATATTCTTAGCACCAGAAGGATGGTTGAGCATGGTTGAGCTGGGTTCTGGAGGGAAGGGAAGGAACCCTGAAGGAGCAATCAAGTGGACATCGGGAGCTTTCTTCCCCATTGCGGACATTATCAGTCGGGCATGCGGATATATCATGTGCTAGTCAAATTCCCTAAGAATCCTTGGGCCCATGGCATGGTCGGACCCTCCATAGCAGGGTCCGGGCCCGTTGACTGAGCGTTCGATGTCGCTTCTCCGCACCGTGACACGCACCGCCACACCGTCCAGGACACTGGGAGCATGGCTTCGTGGCTGCCACACACATTGCCAGGGAAAAGGAGAGCAAAGGTCTCTCCATCTTTCCAGCGCCTCGGTTCTTTTGGGCCGGGCGGAGCACAAACCAGTTCGGACCAACCGCGGTTTCAGCGCCCATTTCCGTGCGCCTACTATGCGGAAGCAGTGGGTTTGGGTTCTTTTGCCAAAAAAGGAGTGCAACAGCTGTTGGAAGTGGAAGAGAGGTTGGTCAGGAAGAGAATGACAGAAGACCTGATCGTCGAATTGTTTCCTTTTCTCCACACGAACATCTCTTAACATTAGCCCAAGACCCTCCCACATCGCGCCTCACCCACATCATCCCCACTCAGCTTGGTGCGGCTCCAAGGAGGCTGGTAGATCAGCTGGTGCAGCAGCACCTGACTGAGCTCAACGAGCGGCCCCGACCGCCTGTGATCAAGGCGCGGAATTTCTTTACACGGTCACGGGGCAGCGGGGAAGACGGGTAGGGATGGGGGCCGCTTTGGCCGCTTTGGGCGTGTTTTGGTGGGGAGATTTTACTTTTTGATATTTTTTTGGGTGGAAGTTGCGAAAGAAGCTTGGTGCAAACTCGGTGACATTCCGAGTTTTCACTTCCTATGGTCGGTGTGACAAGCCGAACGTGCATTCTGACTGAATCTTGAAGTAGAATGTAGAACCGTAGAACCCATTGCACAAGGTCAGATCCCAAGTGGAACAGCATCATGAACCAGAGCTTGGACAGAAGAGACTTCATGTTCACAGATGTTTTCAGCTTGCTTTGGCAATCTTTGTCGTCAGGGTCCGCACCGCAGCGATGAAGGTTTTCAGCGGTTTTCAGCCCCGAAGCGCTTGGCCGTAGAGGTTGAGCGCCTTACCTGTCGTCTTACGACCTGGCGTCGATGGTCGTTTCCACTGTTTCATTTTCTGCAGTGTTTTGGGTCAAGTCGAGGGTTAGGGATGATATTATCTCCCTCTAGTTAGCCTAGTTTGGAGGACACATCAACATGGATTGCAAGACTTCCAAGGATCTGGTTCTTTTTCTCCAACGTAGGGACATCCGATCAACCACACACCCCAAGAAAAAACATGAACACACTCTCAAAACCGCTCGATTGTGGATGCAGAGTCCAGTCCAGTGTCGACAAGTCATCTTCGGGCGCCATTTGTTTTGGACCACAGTCTTTCCACCGCAAAGACAGACAAACACGACGTGCCCGCGCCAGACATCCTCCACAAAAGATTCCTTGCCGATCGAGAAGATGCACTCGGTTGCAACAAAGAGCCTTGGTGGAAGACAAGAGCTGGACGAGCCAGCTTGGGGATGAGAAGTCCATGCATGACCAATTGGACCCTTTGTTGGGTACACGACGCGAACAGATCCGGTCAGATGATGTCAGATGGTTTCTTTCATGGCAGGACCCCCCCGGAAGGCAGGCTGCTAGGCAGGCTGCTGTACTTTCCAAATTCGTTGGTTTTCCGCTCCACGGGAAACCGGTTTCTTCGGAGTGTGCTCAGCGTGCTCAGCCGATGCAACAACCCAGTTTCCAATCTAACAAGTTGTCAAGAAGCCATCGCTAGTAGGCCATGAAGGCCATCCCTATTAGGTTGGAGGCCATCGCTCTTGGGTTGGAGGCCATCGCTCTTAGGTTGGATGCTTCTCAACAAGTTTAAAGAACCAGGTCCGGGATTGTCAACCCTTCCACGTTCTCAGTTCTCAGGTGTTTCGAGCTCCACGCGCTTACGCGCGTGGATCTCTTAAATCCAGACCTACAGACCGAGATGTTAAGTGACCTCAAAAAGGACCCGGAAAACCTGGGGTACCGAACTGGCATAGTCGATAGGTTCTTCCGCCTCTGGATAGGTCCTTTCGGTCTTCCAGGGTGTAATCAAATTGCAAAGATGTTCAAAGATGTTCAATCCATGGAGTGCTTGGGAGAGAATCGAGACACGTCCCAGCTTATCAGCTTATGGGCCGTTCGGTGGATGGTGTGGCCCCCGAGTTCGGATGACCATTTTCAATCCGAAGACCCAGGTGGTTGTCACTCCATGAATCCATTATTAATTTTTGAAAGTGTACATCATTCTATGCCCAAACATCCTGTCTGCATAGGACCTCATAGGACCTCGTGTTTTTGACCTCAACTCACTCACCTTCCCACAAGAGGTGCCAGGCCCTGTGTTTTTTCAGGGACCAAAGTGGTGCTGGGTGGCGTCGCTTCGTCGATGCACCACTCCTTATTCCAGGACCCACGGTCGGGGTGGTTCATGGATACCCCGGATACCTGTAAGGGGCTATACATAGACGCCCCGCAAGGGGGTCCTCCTTGGAATCGCCTAAAGAACAGAACTGATCCCTTCTGATCGATGTTGTCGCCTCGCCCACTCGCCGGTTGCAACACTTGATCAGAAGAGACTCGACCTCCGGGAAACCGGATGTTTTCCCTAAGCATCGCTGAAGCGAAGCGCATCGGGTTTGAAACCTCTAAGCATCACGGAACCTCTCATGTTCTGCCCAGAGACTTTTTTGAGACCTGAGCTAGCACCCGAAGTAGTGATACACATGACATGTGGGATGGGCTGATGAAACAGGGCGGGCCGTTCTGCAGCTCTCTACCGTGTAGCCTGCAAGCCTATCCGGACACGTGACCCGTGAACCATCTCGGCCACCTCAGAAGCTCTTCGAAAGCAGGTTTCCAGGTGCTGCTGAGCGCTCAATCTGGAAGTCCAGAAGCCCAGTAAAATGTTCCCAGGGCATTTTCTTGGAACCACACCTTTGCAACGGAAGCTGCATGTTCCACCGATCGAAGCGACTCGTTTCTTCCGCCCCACTCGCCCCTTCCACGCGGGTTCCGCCTTTCTCCGATCCCCGAAGCACCGATCGGCCGCATGGGAGCAAGTGCGTCGGACAACCGCACCCAGTTGGAATTCCTGCGGCGCCAAGGAATTCGTGCACGTCCAAATTGTGACCTGGCAGTTTGAAGAAAGGATTTGGTGAGGAAAGAGTGCAGTGACAGTGCAGTGCAGTCAGGTGTTTGGTTGCTACGATATTATTGTGTGGGAGTTGTGGTTGTTGTTGTTGTTCTTTATTAACCCAGACTTTCACAGCCCGGGTCCACCTATAGGGATGGCTTCGACGACAGACCGACCCATCCAGACCCTGGATTCCGACAGATGACTGTCACGTCGTCTGCGAAGCGGCCGATTCACACCTGAATCACCTCAAATGACCATTGTAAGCAATGAAAATCTCAAGACTCGGAGCATCTCCATCGAACTGTATTTCCCTTTCCTCCCCAAACATGTCTCAACCCATTCCCCAAACGCTTCCACATCTTGAACCCATCCCCAGGGTCTCACACGCGGGTCGAGCCGCTCGACCCGAGGTCAGACGTGCTCGCCAGCAGTGAGCTGAAGAGGCCGCGCGGCTCAGCCAGCACCACCTCCACACAGCTCTTGCTGAGGCAGGGGGGAGAGCTGAATCGGACTCGGACTCCCACATCACATGCTTCCGAGCCAGTGGAGGAACCATTGCCATTACCTCCGGACTTGCTGAGGCAGATTCCTCTTTCGGCCAGTGGAAAATGGATTCCGGACGGAAGACGACTTTCCGGGGGTGCCATCCACTTCTCCACTTCTCCACGATCCGGTGAGTCAGAGTGTAACGTTCGGAGAGTAACGGTGGGTTCGGTAGCTACTTCCAGTTCGTGTGGCGGGAGGGTTCGTGAGACTGGCGGAGTGATTTCTGTAAGCACCTTCGACCAGTTGTAAACATGTAAACAAGCAACGGATGTTCTTGAGATTGTGAGCCACCTATTATGGAGGATTCCGTACAAACTTGAGACTCTTGAGGATGGACTTTTCAGGATGGTCGGTCTTTGATCCTCTTCTTCACGACCAGATTTTGTGTGTTTTCCAAAACCGCCTCTGCCCAACCACGACTTCGTCCACGTGGACCCGGCGCGAATGCAGGAACCGTCAGGGCATGACTCCACTCCCGGCCGAGCGGATCTTGTCCGCCTTCGCCTCGGAGGAGACCGAGCCTCTGCGTCAGGCCGAGACGATGCCGCCAACCCGGTCGCCCGGGGCGCGAACGACGCGGCTTGGACCGGACCGGACCGGACGGAACAGTGCGGACGTTCGGGCCGTTTTCAGGTTCCGGCAGGGTGAAGGCTTCGGAAAACGCGAAGCACCAAGGTGTTTTGAAGATGTTAACACTTACACAACCGGGCCCTTTTCCATTTCTGAAATGGCGGCTAGGGTGAAATGGAGTGGAGCGAAGATGCACCAGGCAGTGTTACTTTGAACGATGTCGGCTCCATCAAACCGCACGCCCCCGCCCCCAGCGGGGACGAGATCACATGTTGGAGGATTCCTCTTCGGAATCCATCTTTAAACTTGAAATTGAAGAGGCCACTGGTAGTGCAGTTGGCGATGTTGGGCACATGCCCACAGGACCCTGGACCTGAGTTTGAAGTGCTGACCTCAGGCGGATTTGCCAAGGATTTTGCTACATCCAAGCTTGGAGTACCATTCATCTGGTAGTGATGTGTGGAGTATTTTACAACCTTCACAGGCGGTGGGTGAAAAGACCCGAAGATCTCCACATCCGCAGTAAAACCCTGGGCATTTGGATGTATCTGGTCAAAACACATCATATCTTGGTTCATATCATTTCATCGCTTTCAAAGGGTCATGTCATCCACCAATCCGTGTGTGCGTCTTCAAGATGCCCTGGTAATACTCATTGGAGAGACCTGATGTATCCTGATGTGCAGCCATGTTTCACACTCCTGATGTAGGTCTCCTTATGAGTCGACTGACTAGACCGATTTGCTAGAGATTTTTGACCAGTCCCCCCACTCCGGAAATCTGAATTGTGCAGCAGAGTGTGCCATAGAGTCTATTGCTAGCATCTAGTAGCCATAGATAGCCATAGAGTCCCCCCTCCAGAAATCCCATGGTGGCTCAAACGTGGTCCTCCCATGGCACTCTGATCGGCACCTCGTCGACCGGGACTCGACACGCCGACTCACCGGGGTTTTTCGCCCGGGTTGTGGTGGGTGAAAAAATCCCCGGGACGGCCGGGTTTGGACTCCAAAATCTTGGTTCGATAGACCCCCAAATATAGATAGAAATCGAAAGGTAGATTCCCACTAGTAAACATGTATTGGACACCGTGCAACTATCTCTTTGGGGACCACTATAAATGAACCCGAGTTTTCCCCAAGCCTTTTGCTGGCTATCATGTTGGTTGATAGAGGGGAGTGTCCCCGCCCGCTGGTGGTGAAACACCGGCCAAATGGGTACCATTTGGTTTCTTGTTTACCCAACGACCCAACGACTCACTCTCTCGCTCCTCCTCCTGGACATTACGTGGATGGACTGGCTCGCGTGACCCGACGCTCCCGTCCGGCGCTGGGACAGGTGAACAGCAACGCGGCGGGCTCGTCCGACTCCGGTGGGGTCAGTCAGAGCATCCTCGCGGAGTTCTTCTCCGACGCCCGGCACACGACCGGACGACCCGACGGACGTGCAGGGCGGGCGGGCGGAGGGCGGGCAGACGCGAAGGATCGGGGCGAATGATCGGGACGAGACTTCGGTTTTTGTTGGACTTTCTCGGACTCAGGTGTTCCCATGGAAGTGGAACGTTCTCTTTGGGCATTGTATGTCTATCAAACGGACGGGGGGACGGGGGAAGTGTTCACCAAACCCCATGGTTTTCGGCGGTGCGGTTTTGACGTGTTTTCCTGGAGTGTTTACAGGGTCTGAACGCGAACTCGGCTTCCACGTCGTTGACGGTGTTTCTCGGTGTTCCCGTCAGCAACGAACGGTTTCTCGGTGGAGCAAGTGGTCCGGTGGAGCAGAAGTTGGGTGTCCTTCTTCCTATTAGGTTGGGGTTCGCACACCTCAGGAAACTGCTGTGGCCAGAAGAGACGAAATCTTTCCCCCCAAATAAATGTGCACAACCTGGCAAGGCCAGGTGTAGCAAAGACCATGGGCTGCGAAAAGCCAGACCTTGGGCTCGGGAAAGATCTTCGGTTTCTCCTCCCGGAGGATCTCAGAAAAGGCATGACACATGGGTCTCTCTCCGGATTTGTTGCTTCGGTGTGTTCCACATATTCTCTCCGGATGCATTTTGCAAAGATGTGCGAACATGATGTGAATGTCGAACTGTCGAACACATCTGAAAAAGAAGGTGAACACACATGCCAACACATCCCCATGGCTTGTCGAGCCCTGGAGTGACCAAGGACTCTTCCGGGAAACAGAAAAAAGCAAAAGACGGGGTGTTGAGCCAGATCGATGCGATGTCTTAGAATCTGTGGGGCCTCCAAATTCATCCTGGGACCATCTGGGCCCCGTGAAACTAGGCCGATGAAACGAGACCGAACACCGTGAAGAACGAGTGACTTATTGACTCAGGAGACGGAAAGCAACTTCAAGCGGCGCTTCCAAAACTTTTCTCGATTCCAGAAGTGGCTCAGGCTGAAGAGTTGGACATCATGATTCATGATTTTTGTTTTTCTCTCTTTTTTCCCGATCGGACGTGGCAGACTACTCGTTCTTATTTGCTTTTTTCCACTTCAGTCCACTGTCCAGCTGGAAAGAGGGGCAAACACGAGTCAGGGAGTAAAGGCAGCTCAGTGTGTCAGCTGAGCTGAGCCGATGGTTTACCGTCTGCGTCGAGAGCCTCGTAACTCGACGGGTGCACCAGCGGCCGACGGCCGAGTCTTTAACAAAGTACGCACGCAGATCCAACCAGTGCTCCAGGAGCAACTGGTGCTCCGAAACTTTTCGTCCATCCCTGGTCTCTTGTATCGTATCAAGAAGGTCCGTCATCAATTTCCAAAGAGGATAACACCAGCAGTTGCTTGACACTTCGGTTAGCTTCGCGAAGAAGTTATATAGTATATTATATAGTTCTCGAAGTTGTGAAAGCAGAGACACACAAGCATGACTTTGTCTCAACTACTGGGTTCCCCAAGAAGAGACAAAGTAGAGTGACAGATCATCTATCCACTTGTTGGAGGATCCCCATGTTGAGATACAGTTCAAGATCCTTCTCATACCCTTCTTCACCAGCCCCCCAATGGATTCCCAGTGAACCACGGCTCTTCCCTCAGTATACACCTGTGGATGTGCAACCCATTGAGATCATTTAGTGCGCTCGGCGGGCGTTCTGTTCTTTTTTGACTGGAGTACTTTCACCCAGGTCGTCGACTGGAGCTGTCGACACCCAACAGTAGTCGAATTTCAGCGGACCGGGTCCTGGACGTGTCTACTCGAGTTTTGGACTGCTCCATCCAGTTGGGACCGTTTATTTAGTCCAGTTTGGTGCTCACATGCGAAGCCGGGGCCAACCATGGGAACCATGGAAATCTCTTCAGTGGTCTTCATTTCTGTTTTGAAGATGTCTCGGGTAGCTGTGGTGCAAGAGATGGTCCATCAACGGAACTCGGCGTGCCGAAGACGACGTGTCTCGGGTGCCTGAGTTTGGGCGAAGTTCACCTCAACCAGCCGAGTTTGTAACGATGAACTCCTAGACTTAGACCAAGAGACCGGACTCCAATTTTTCTATGCTGTCTTGGGGGTTGTACCAGATTCATTCTAGCAGGATCTATATAGCAGGTGTATCTGTATATGTAGCCTGTTCTGATGTTTAAGTCAGTGTGCGTAGAGCTCAGGCCCCCACGAGTTTCACGAGTGGTTTCCCACGGCTCCACGGTGCAGCGGAGATCTTTTTTTTCATATCTTTTCAGCCATCGCCACGATGGGAACAAACATTGAGTCCTTGCAAAGATCTCTCCAAAGTGTCGTAGGTGTCGTGTCACCCGGCTGTGCGCTTCGACCGAGGTTGCGCTGGTGGCTCCAGTCCAATAAGCCATTTGACCATGCAAACGACTGCTGGGTTGTCCCATTTCGACAAAGAGTTGGTAGAATCACATCATTTTGTTTCAGGCTTCTGCGATTTTCTGTGAGCTGTCGTGGTCCAATCTTTGCGGTGAACCTGAACTATAACTGTTATTGTGAAAGGATGTCATTGGTCGACACTGCATTTGGTTGCTTCCCATGCCAGCCGAAACAGTGGAGGGACAATCTGCTTCCAAATCACTCCAGTGCGCCACCCCGGGGGGTGAGATTGATGGGATTCTGCTTGGAAGTTCACTTCCATCAAACACATCTTTGATTGATCAGTTGAATCTGGCCTTTTCAGTGGTCGACCTGGCAACTGGCTCTCTTCTGCTGCCAAATCCAGGTAATAGGCCCAAGTACACAGAAGATCAGTTGGAAGGTCGGAGCCAACTTGAAGTGCCGGACATTCGACTCCTTCCTTCTCAGGGCACTTTAAGGTCCTGAAAGTTTGAAAGGTGATCATTTAAAGGGTCGAGAGACAGGGAGTTTTTTGGGTGTATCCCATGACCCTCTAACAGTCAATCAAAGAGGATAACAATTTTTGAGATTCAAACCGATCTTCCTCTACATACACGTGGTTTAGAAGTTGAACGGTTCATTCAGTTTAATGTTACCTGGTGTAAGGTTCCCACAACACTCCCCCCTGCAAGAGAGCCCCCGGAGGATTTTCGGTCGATGTTGTTCGTCGCCCTCATGGGTTCTGGTCGCCCTTTTTCCAGCCGTGACGCCGGTGAGCGCCGAGTTTTGAGATGATGATCAGCGCAGCGCTGTGTGGCTTGGGTTGTTTTGGCGCTTGGTTTCTATGGATTCTCTGGACTTGACACCAAGCTCGGTGGCGGAGTGCGCAGCCTTCGAAGCCCTGGGCTTGTTTTTGCTTAGCTCTCAGAAGGAAGATTGGTTCACAAGTGGTATCAAAATAGGGAGATCTCCCAGGCAACCAGATCTCCAGGATTTATATAAAACACACACCAGCCTATATAGGCTGGGAGAGATGAAGTGTCCTGAACCGTCCAAGCATGTCCAAGCAGTTAGACCCTTCCGTACCAATCGCAGAAGGCTCCTGGCCCACCGCAGAAGGTAGGGACTGACCCCTGCACCCACCTCATCCCACCTCAACCACTGGGGTAGTGGGAGCCAGTCCGAGAGAAGTGGGCGTTCGCGCACGTCCGCATGCGTTTTTTGGTGGCTCCCTAATTTCTTCAGAGGCTTTTACTTTCTTCAGACTTCAGAGGTTCGCTTGGTCCAGAGGTTCAGTCGCGTCGGGAGGCTCCACCCCACAGATCTCTTGAGCCGAAAGAATCTCTCAGCGCCGCCACGATTTGATGATGTCTGATGTGCAGAGAGGCTGACGAGGTCGAGGTCGACCCCAAAAAGACTCCTTTCTCCGAAGAAGAGACCGCTGACTTGGCTGTTGAAAGGTTTTGAACACCATGATCGCCAGACCGGATTTCCCTATTTACTCGCTCGCCAGAACCATCGGCACATGGATGTTGTGGGTGTCTCTTCCAAGTGTTTTCGGGTGGTTTGCCATCAAGTGGGTTTACAAGGCGAACGAAGGAAAACGACCCAATTGGTTGGGAGGTCTCTCCACTGGATTTTACACGAATAAAAGACGGGTCGGAGATACAGAGGATCAACCCTTGCTTTGAGTGATCGCTCTTGAGCGATCGAGTCATCTCAAATACACCAGGTCTCAACATCTTTTGGATGGCCTTGGAGTTACAGATCGAGGGCTTGGTGATGGGGCGCCTTAACTCAGACTGAGAACAGTATGGAAACCCAAACAACTATAGAAACACATGGATGTTTCCCCACACAGCATTTCCACCAAAAAAGCATGTAAAGGATATCAGTTCCCGGAAGAACCAGTTATTTCTGGTGAACAACCAGTTATTTAGGTATGTTTATCCCTAAGAATCTCCGGATTCTTGGGTGAAAGGTCGTAGCGTATCTGTGGACCGTGGGTGAAGATGTTGACTGTGTATGGAGACCCTTGGGCCGCTGGGTAGACTGGTCGATGGTCCTTTTTCGGAGTTGTTGCCTGGGAGGTCTCCCTGTTTGAATACACATCCAGATGAACAACCCTTCTTCTGCAAGTAGATGGGTCAGTGCATGGGTCAGTCAGAGTCAGGGTTCCTGACAGACACCCTTGTTGAGTTGGCAGCTTTGACAGTTTGTTCAAACCTGCAAAACTTGATCCCATGCGGAGCCCAGCAAGAAACGAGCTGCTCCAACTGGTTGGACATGGCTCAATCCACCTGGCTTCAGTTCGTGCGGTGAACAACAAACTCTGGTCACTTGAGTGTCATGTTGTTGCTGTTGTTGTTGGATATGGTGAGTTGTTTGCGGGTCTCAGACTCAGACGGTCTCAGAGGATTTGCCGTGGGTCTGTCTCAAAGTGCTTTGAGTGTGTTTGCGTCATCCTTTACTATATGGTAAATGACCGTGATAAGTAGGAGATTGGAGGTTGGAGGCCATCACTTGTAGGTTGGAGGCCATCGCTAGTAGGTTGGAGGCCATCGCTATTAGGTAGGAGGCCATTGCTATTAGAAACTAAGAAAAATAAAAGGAAGAAAACCCATTGCCTCATGAAAGCCCATGATTGTCGCCCCGGGGATTGCTTTTTCCATCGTTGTCATCGTTGTCTTTGTCCTCATGGCCATTGCCAAAACCCTTCCACCAAGAGCCAAGCTATGCACATTTGCGGGATACATGGAGGGTTTACATTTTCAGCATCCACATGCTGCACACTCCAGGAACAGCATCTAAGCATTCCTTGGGGGTTCAGGAGCTACTTGAACCAGCTGCCACTGTCGTATGCCACCAGAATACCTTCTGGATTTCTCTCAACACCTCTATTCCGGCCAGGAACGGAAGATCGAACCCATGCTTGGATGCCCTCATCCATCAGCGTTTGTGATCGTTTTTGTTTCCTTTTTTCTTTTTTTTTCTCTCTCTCTCTCTCTCGGCTGTCTCAGGTACAACCTGGGGACATATCCTGACTCCATGGTGAAGCCCAACAATTTCATCCTATGGGCTCCTCGGACCCCGAAGTCCAGGGCGCGTTCCTCCCTTCCTCCATAGGGCACCGGGTGGGGACCCGGTGGGTCGCGGAGCCGATGGAGGACCAAGTGACGAAGACTTCTCGTTGGAGGTGGATCCTGAGGGTGGACACCCGGTTTCCGCCACCACCCAAGACGCCAGGGCACTCTCGGATGCCTGCGAAAGAGCATCCGATCTGATTACTATAGTTTGAATGGTATATACTGAATATGTATGAGTCTGAAATGAACTGATGGCGATACTGTTTGTGCCAACCCCTGAAGTTATTTTGGCAGGGTACCAGTGTGCAGGATGGTTTTTGGGGCGCAGCTTGGCGCCCCCCCGCCTATCAAGAGGCGCTCTGTGCTCTCTCCCGAGGACCATGCGTTCGCGATCGTAGACATGTTGTGTCTTGGCACGGAACTGACGACCAGGCAGGCCGACATCAGGGTTTTCTGCGACCAACATGTGGTGAACCCACCAACATTTGGAGCAATCTGAAAAAAGGGGCACCCAGGCATATACCCACACATATCCAACGATCTCCTTTGCGTTGTCCACGCAGCCTGTTTCCACGAACGCCTGAAGAGTTCGACCTGCAAGGTGTCACCGACCCAAACAGGCTGCAGGCTCTGGGGTCTCGCGACTCACGGGACGTGGAAGCTGAGGTGGGCGCTGTTCTTTGGCCTGGAGGTTTGCATCCGAGTCATGGTCTCTTGAGCCATTCTGAACGTGTTTCGGGGGGGGATGAGAGACTCCGGGAGGGATGAGAGACTCCTGGATCTAGACTCTAAACCCGGCGATTTTGGACACTTGAGGAGTGAAGAATCTGGATTCCCATCCATCCGATTGGAACGACCGGAGGGATTTGGTCTCTGCTTTCCCCGCCCTGGATCAACCTGGAGTCACACATGGCCGTGTTTGCCACCCCGACTGTAGAGACTCTTTCCTCAGGTTTAGGCACGGTCCCAGTTCAGGTCTCTGAGCCTCTCGAGAGGCTTGTAGAGGCTACCCCGCAGGGAAAGCCACAGCAGGTGAACGAACTCCTGAATAGATTGTCCGGGGATGCTTCGTAGACGCTTCGCAGTTTCTTTGGTGGGGCAGTGGGTAGGTATCCCCAGCCTTCCGACCAATTGAACGTTGGCTGACCTGACCATGGCTAACCCGGTTTTGGATCATCTTCAGTACACTAAGAAGAGCCCTCCATGGCAGCAAACCCTCCATAGCAGGGGTCCGGGCCTTCAATCCTGTTTGTTTGAGCTACTGGCACTGTTAAATTAACGACCCGATGGCAAGAATGCACACACACACATATGTATATATATATATGTATATATATATATATTATTGTTATTTTGTTTATTTATTTACTTTATTTATTTTGTTTTATCTTTATTTTTTAAACTGGAACTTGCCTTTTAGCTTGGTCCTTGACATCACGTTGTTAACAGCGTTGGGTGGGTGGGTGGGTAGGTGGGTGGGTGGGTGGAGGGGGCAAAGGTTACCAGTGTGTGAAAGCCCTCCAAACTTGACTGCATCCGTATCCTACTGGGAACATGTATATACTAACAGTGAATGCTTGTGAACCCCAGGATTTTCCGACGGATGAAGATGTGTTGAGGGTACCACGATGGGATTCAAGGAGCATGAAGGCTCAAGAAATCGCGACTGTGTGTGTGTGTGTTGGTGTTGTTTCGTTTGTCGGGTGTTCCGCCTGGTTCTGTGTGCCTTCTTCCTTTGTGGCGTGTCAATCCTTTTTCTTTGGACCAACGGTTTAACTCGTGATTGATCCGATCCTCTAGTTGCTTTTGTGCACGGCACCGTGTTGGATTCGGATCGTTGTTGGGTAAACTGGGAGTTGGTGTTGGAAACTTGTTTGTCGTCGTTTAGACTTCGGTGCAACGTGTGGTTGAGGTTTTCTCTTTCTCAAAAGCAGAGGCTAAGTCCCTTTCTTTGGGTACTGAGTCGACGTTTGTAACGTAGTTGCAGCAGCTCCATGGCGGAAGTGGCTCTGCGTGGCCGTTCACGATCACGAACTCCTTTATGTGGCTGCTTGATGCCTCCTCACCGGACTCAGATCCTGGTTGGTCTGAGCCGAGTCTTTTTTGTTTTGACTCCGAGAAACAGATTCTTGGAACTATCCGCGAACGATGACTGTGTGAGCCCAGTTCGAGGAGACGAAAGCCCCGATCGTTTGAGGTACAAGCAATGGCACCTCAAAGAAAGTGAGCTTGAGCAGGCTATGTTACAAGCTGCAAATTGGACTTTGCACGTCGCAAGTTTGCAGTCAGGAATGTGGTGCACTACAAGATGGAGTTCACTCGGGCATGTCAGGTGCGGAAGAAGAAGAAGAAGAGGAAGAAGAAGAAGAGGAAGAAGAAGAAGAAGAAGATCAGTGGCACCCAAACAATAGAACGCGTCTGGCGTCAGCTCAAGCGGTGCTTGCCGTTCAGCCTTGCCAGTCAAGACCCTGAGACTCTGAACGAATAGACATGTGTGGAGCTTTTGCTGGCGGTGCAAGCACAGAGAGCATCTCAAGGATTGAGTCATCGCCAAAGAGTGGTTTTGACACATGCGGTTATCCCAACAACATACATGCAAACTGTATTTCCACAGGTAGAACATATAAAGGACTTCAAGGGCATGTAAAAACGTGACGAAATGAGACACACTACTTTCCATGTATTTCCGAAATCTGTACACCTCTCGTTCTTTTCCCTTTACATGCCATTCTGAATCCACCGGGCCTTTAACAGGGCCGGTGCCTTGTTTGAGGGCCTGGATTCTTAGGGTAAAAATGGGTAGAGTGAATTGTTGTTCAGTTTTCAAAACCTTAACTCCATGGTGGGCAGAGATGGGGGTGTCCAAATCGACGAAGCAGCTGCGACACCGAAGCAGCTGCATGTTCGGTTCCTTGCGACACCTGGTGCGGCTCAGCGATCAAAGCAAAGCAACTCCCAGGTTCTGGGGATCGCCTTCTGGAAATCCTGGCTGAACTACATCGATGTGGCCGTCAGCGTGATCTCAGTGGCCCCTTGGGGCAGAATGTGAACGTTGGAACTCAGTGTGGGGTAGGCCAGGGGGCATGGGAACTCCAAATGGAAGGGATTTCGGATGGATGGTTTTTGGGGTTTGCTCATCGGGTGCTTTGTTCTTCTTCCCCCCGACTGGGTGAAAAAGCGCGTGAACCAGAGAACATCTACCAACCATTCTTTTTAAGACCATGAAAGAACTGGGTCAGTTGTTTTGTGTGATGACGTTGGACCTGTTTTGGGCGGTTGGAGCTGTCCTTCCTTTGGAGCTTTGGGTCACAAGTATAGAAACAGGGCTTGGTTGGGGACTGAACGAAGGTTGTTCTGGGTCACCTGTGTGGAAACTAGTCGTCTCGGACAATGGTCAACGGGTCATATATAGTCACACTGTAATATATTCAGGATCGAAACTTGCCGAACTGTTCGCGACCAGTATAGATGTCAGGAGAGAGTGACCCCGTCTAGAGCCCTGGACGGTCACCGGTGGGTCCGGGGCGCGCGCAGGTGGAGGTGTTTGTGTTCATGGCGCCGGCCTTTGGAGTGAACCCCGTGCTCTTCAGACTGCTGCGGATGCCTGGCGGACGGAGAAAACCGTCGGACGTGCGAGTTCCGGTCGAGCGACCAAGCCCAGAGGACGGGGAAGAGAGGCTTCTTGGGGGTCGGGTCGTATATCCAAGGTACACCCTGGTTTTACGGCCAGGAATTGCTCTGCCTCACTCATTGGCGGGAGTCCACATGGACTCCTTGAACTCTAGCACCAGTTCCGAATGCAGAACACCCACACCCTCTACCAGGACCCTCCTTCTTTCAGATTCACCTTTGCAGACTATCAGTTGGAGGGTCCTGAAATACTTCCTGTGGAGTCCTATGATTGGAAGGTGCTGGTACATGATTGGAAGATGTGACATCCAGTCCTCCTCGTGACATGAATCGAGACATCAACCATGCGCAACCCAAATCCCTGACACAAAACCCCTGGACGGACGACCAGGGCTCATCCACCCCTGTTGGTTCCCCGTCAGTAGATACCTCCAATTTTTTGTGGATTGGTTTCCCACTCAAAACCAACAGGTCTTTGAAAACATGGCGTTTTGGCCTCAGTGCTTGCGGTGCTTAATTCATTTTTGTTTCTTTCTGCTAGGTGCACACTTCTCACTTTTTATGCCCTTCCGACCAGAGAGTCATAAAGAACGAAAGAAAGAAAGGCTGCCTCCCAATGGTGGTGGCTTGACAGATGCAACAGGTGGAAAAAGGTTCAGCTCTATTTTCCAGCGAAACGTCTCCGGAGTCCTTTTTTGTCCTGGTTAGGTTTCAATGTCACCTCCGCAGCAGCGATGCTGGATCCGGTGTTTTTCTCGCTGCCCAGGATGGGGAAGCTCTCGCGGGCAATGCGCGTTGTCTCAATGACCAGTGTGCTCGCCTCACTGCAAGATGGCAAATAGGGTGGGTGGTCGGATATGCATGAGGCTTGGGATGGAGGCGGCTGGAAGTCCCTCAACAATTCATCAAACCGGTATGTGCATCACTGCCAGGGAAGAGGGGGGTAGGCAAGATTGATGGTTGCGCTCATGTGAGCGGGAAAGTCTAACAATCCACCGAGACAACCTCCAAAGCTCCTCGAGTTTGGGCAAAAAGGCGTGCAGAGCGAGCATTCTTTCCCAGTCGTCCAGTCTGACCCAGTATAACCTGTTCCTTGACTTCATGGAATAATTTTTCATGTATGACGCATAATCAGATCCTTGAGGGTGTTGCAACCTGTCGCTTGGCGATGCCTTCGTGAAAGCCCCGATCCATGGACCGCCATTGGGGTTGGCCACGTGTGGCCGCCGTGGCCATTCTCAGCTGTTTTCCTTATGAGGGATTTGGATGGATTTGGTGGAAATGGCTTGGGAGTGGGTTCGGTGGGGGAAAGCAAAAACCTTACCAGAAGTCACATGGAGTTGGGTGGTGTGGCTCGTCCCATCCAGGAGCCGTGGATGTGACAGGGGCACCCTTAGCCTCCATTGAGGACCCTGACATGGAACTGCTGGTACAATAACAATTACAATCAACAACAGCAGGTCTTTTTGAGGCTCGTTGGGGGACGTCTAAACCGAAGGGTGTGTCGGGGTGTCTTAGACCAGCTTCGTTGGTGGGATCACCGTGGCCGTGGAACCAGCCACAGCTTGGTGTCCCACGTCCTTCCCAGCTTAGGTCGTTGATTTTCGCTAGTCCATGAGCCAGGAAGACCAGGAGGAACATGGAGGAACCCTGATGAAAACAGTGTACATGAAATCATCGGAATAGCACGACCAGGATGAGAAGCTGGTTGTCCCACGTTGCGCCAACATCGAAATAGTTCTGTCGTTCACCCATATACTAACACCGCCCACACGTCCTTTGAAGATCCGGGTGTTCGTGTTTTTGTTGTGCCTGAAAGGGCACACGGTGCCACAAGAATGAGCAGCTCTGAGTTTCAACTTCGCGGATTGGCACCCAGGCAGCTCTTGTTGAAATGTCTGGCAGCTAGCCGGGATATGCTCTTCTGGAGTTTCCTACTCCTCACCTTTGTCCAGTGTGTCGCTGGCATGCCGCTTGGACCAACATGGAGTGGTAGTCACTACCACTCGAAACGGCGACCCTGGAGGGGGGGGAGCGAGCTGAAACGGCACCTCAGATCGGATCATCCAGGGTTCCAGTGGTTCGGATGACATTCCATGCCTTTCGGGCTTCCAGCGACTAGCGCATGTGGCAAAACCGCCGCGACCACGGCAGGGTTTCACACCTTCACTCACACAGGCAAGGGATGAACAGTGGACCGCTCCCCTCGGTTAAAAGGGAAGTCATCTACCAAACGAACAATGCCATCCACGAAACCATGTGATGTGTTCGTCCAGGGGTGTCCCTGAAACCGGATCGATTTGGTGACCTCTTCCGATTGTGAAAGATCATGGCTGCCTTCATAAATTATTTGAGGTACGGTATAGGGTATACCGGTGACCTTGCCAAATCATTTTCTAGACAGTTCTTTGTTGCATTTAATCTATTTGACATCTTGGGGTAGGTGGACACCGAATCTGAATGATACATCCCAACCCCGATTTTTGGTCCTCGATGGGCCCATCAACCGAAGGAGTTTTTCTCGAAGAGTTGATGTGAGTTGAACGAAAAGTCATCCCGCGGCCATTGATGCTTCAAGATCTCTATTTTGAAGACTTGGTTTTCCGCGATGGAGCCACAGACTCAGAGTCGCTTGGCCATCAGCTCACGTGCTGGGCGTTCTTTCGGCTGCTTCGGTCGCGTCGCGGTGAAGGGTCACGTCGTTGGTCAAGTGGATCTCACCCACCACTCAGTTAGGTGGCTTTTGGATGGAAAATACCTGGTCCGGGGGTCTATAAGTCACCCGAACTGGCTGGTGCTGGCAGAATGAGATTCTGTCAGTTTCGGCCATCCGAAGCCTTGTGGAGCCTCTTTCCTCCTTCCTCCTTCGGTGAATGGCCTGCGGTTTGAGCCATCCGGACCGACCTGAGAAGACCCACGGAACCAGGTATCGTTGGTTGAAAGGACTGCATTTTTTCAAAGAGAATGGATGTGGCCGTGGGTCAAAACCTCACCCTACAAGATCCTTTATAATATAGAGGAATATTTTTGGGTCCCCCGAATTTGACCCACCGCCATGTGTCTTTTCATTTGGAGACCTTCCAAAGACCCCCCGGAAGAAGGGAACTAGACCATCTCTAGAAAAGAGGCCCAGCACACCACAGTGGGACATGCACGAAGACTGGTGCCAGTTCCTATTTCGGGGGCTTGCGCACTGAAGTGGCCTTTTCACTTGAGGAGTCTGTCGAAGAAGGGCCCAACCAACCTGAAGCTGACTCAAATGACTGGCAAGGAGCCATCAGTTTCCACCTCATGAGTCTTGCTTGTGGGCATGCCTGCAAGACTACGAGGCAAGGGATGAGTAGGGTTACTGAGGCCTACGGTACTAACGTCCACTTCCACTTCGGTAGGGAAGCTGGGGACCTCCCACATCAAACCAGCTCCGATGACGCGAGTCAGGCGCATGATCTGTCACTCTTAAACAAGCTATTCGATCCTCAAAGCCTTGAAACAAACGAGTGAACAAAACTCTGCACTCGAGATTTTGAGACGAGTCACGTCCCTTCAAGAACCGGACACGACAACGGGACCACTCCGCACGCGTCGATGGTGGACCGGGACGGGGTCGGAGAAAACACGTGCACCGACCGACCGACCAGCGCTTTCTTTGGTGATGAAGGCGCAAATCTCATGGATTCGGTGCAAGGAGTTTTTGGTCCAGAAATATCACCATTGGGAAGAAGATACTGACCTCTCAGGCCATGATCGTCCGGTCAGGGCCCGACAAGGCTTCAACTTGCATTCAAACCGGTCATGGAACATGGAAACAGGACCCAACAAGATGCATTTGCGGTGTAAATCCTGACTTGCAACGATGCTGCTCATTGAGGCAGGGCTATTTCTGCTTTGGGTGCTTTGTCAGCCCAGCGTAAGGCTTTTTCTCCGCTTGTTTTCAGCCTCCCACAGCGAGGTCGAAGCGCGTTTTGGGGTCCACGTGGTGGTGGTGAGAGGGTTGCAGGTGATCAAGAAATTGATGGTGATCCTCCAGCTTGGGGTCCACAGATACCCTGGTTACCCTGCAACTGGATCTCCTTCATTGAACAGGTGCTGCAGGAGACATCCTCCAACAGTGTTCAACAGCTAGAGTCTCCAAGCTAGAGCTGCAACCATTTACAGCGGTTGGTAGGGATCTGATGTGCATTTTCAGGCAAGGACCGCAAGGCAATTCGTTCCTGGTAGACCAGGCAGGATACCAGGCAGAACCATGTTCCATCATGTTCCATCATGTTCCATCGCTCAGAACTCAGTGGCAGGGAGTGCGACGTTTCGACAGAACGCAGTGGGTCACACTCAAGCACACCAGGCTGATAGGTGGATGTGTATCAAACTTGGAAGAAGGAACAATAGACGCAGTCTGCCCATCGAGCCAGGGGGTCTCCTCGTATAAATACAAGCCCAATTGAACACCACTGGGTTCATGGCCCAGGCTTGCCCCGACGCATGGTGTTTCAAGTTCAGAAGCTGAAAACGGCTGCCGTTCAAACAGAATTTGTGCAGATACTCCGGCGCCCTTTGCCCAGAAGTCGTGCTTCTTAGAATGAGAGTGATGTAAGCTTATTGGGGCATGTCCTGTGATTGTCATGTGTGTCAGGACAGCCCCAAATTCGCTCGGATCACAAAGATGACACCTGCCCGGTCAATTGGATCAGTAGGTGAACAGAAGCGAACGAGTTTCCATCTTTGGAATGAACGTGCGGGACGAACGTGCATTCTTCTGAGGACTTGAACCTCCCAGTGGCAAGCTCTTGAGGGGAGCTGAAAGCAAGGCCAAGGAGCGTGGCGCCACGGCGCCTTGTGCTGCAACGACGTCTCAGCCGGGCGTCGAAGGAGAAGCTCATGCGCCAATGACCTCAACGTGAGTCAGTCGTCTTTTTCCTTGAGCCTTCTAGACCAAAAGAACCCCCAAGAACACTAGGAACTGATGACCCCCAAGAACCTTTAGTGTTCCATAGTGTTCCTATACTTTGAGCCTTCTGAGACTTATCATCACCACTAATGACCGCTGCCCCATGCTGACCTCAGACACTCAGAAGTCTTTTTTTCTTCGCTCCATGTCACTCCCCTCCACCGCAACCGAAACCGACCGGCCCGCCATTTGCCGAGGTCCAGTTCGTGGCCGTGGAACGCGCACGTGCCAACGCTCCATGCTCCGTGGCCACGGCGCAGGATGGGGCAGACGGTTCAGACGACTGCCGTCTGTGTGTCTGTGTGTCTGTGTGCGTGAGGTATCTTTCCGGAGGTGAGCGGGGCATGCCATCATCTCAAGATTTGAGTTTTTTGTAGGAACAAGGACGCTACTAGGGGCTCCTG